ATACCCGATCCTGGCTCTGTTCCTCGATGCAGAAATCTCGCTCCTGTGCTGCGAACGCTGCGACGCGTCGCCGCTTCTCCGCTTCGTCTCGGCTCGTCTCGGCTCCCGGCGGTCGGCCTCTGCCTCGTTCCGTTCCTCTGCAGCGGAGGCTTCGACGTGCTGGTTCTGATCCCGGACGTGATGGCGATTGTCGAGGGCGCTCAAGATGCCGCAGAGGGTACCGAAAGTATAGGTGCGCCCTGGGTTCTAGTCCTGGGAGTTGTGGGAGAAAGCTTTCGATGCAGGTCTCCTCCGAGCTGCGCGAACCGGTCGTTTGCTTCGCTTGGTTCGTTTCCTTCGCATTCTCAGGCTGGGTCCAGTCGTCCATAAAAGGGTGCAGGCTGGGGACTCAACTTACAGGGTGTCTTGGCTTGTTGGTGTCGCCACATTGGAGCAATAGGGTATTGCCTGTGTGAAATTCCCGTACCATGCCTGCCCGAAAACCCCCAGCTGGCATCAGCTGCCTTTGGCACCTTAGAAGAGAAGCTTTGCTACGCTTGCTTTTGGAGGCTCGCGAAGTTGCTCCAGGTGCTGGGATCTCTCTCGGCACGCAGTCTGTCTGCAGAAAAGCAGCATCATCAATGCTGCGGGCTGCGTTCGGGTAAGAGTGCAGTGTTGGTGCAAGGGGAGATCAGGGATAGGTTTTGGATGAGCGCATGTATCCAGGCTTACCAATTACTTTGGGTAGCGGTGCTGCCGATGCAAGCTGTCTCCAGGCATCAACCACGAGATGGCATTGCTTGCCTTCGGCATCACGTGCCTGGTCGCAGTGGTTTCTGTAGAGTCAAGGGCAGTGGTCTCTGTGCTTGACCAATGTCCGCTCAAGTCGAAAGATGGATTGCGGACGTGGAGAAGCCTCCTGCAGCTTTGTTCGCTTATCGAGCCGAGGAAAATGATCTTCCTGACCGCGTACCTCGGTCATTTGCTGTCCTGCCTTTGGCCGCTTGGTGCTTGACATGATGCCTAAGCACCGATGACACCACCGAAATTCTGTCGCATGGCCAGCGGCCACGGTTGAACTCAGGTTTGCAGTTGGTGATGTCGAGGAGAGGGAAAGAAGGTTTGTTCAAGCTCGGGTTTGCGGTGTCCGCTCTGCAGGATGGCTGGGTTTACACCAAGGGCCTGGACGGTGCACCTTTCCACCTGCAGTACCTGACATCTTTGGAGTGGGCACTGCCCCTTGGGCGCGCACTTGGACGGTGGACGGTCTTGGACGAAGTGCACAGAAGAACGGCCAGGTCTCGAATCCATCCCTCGGCCATGCAGAACAACATGGCCCTTCAAACGGGTCCAGAGCGAGCACTTGCAATTGCTGCGAGCTTCCTTGCCCTGGGGGTTTCTTCCCTTTTCATCAGCTGCTCGGTACTTCAAGCATGTTCAAAGTTTGCTCATGAAGGTGCACGGTCTTGCATGCTTCGCATTACTTTGGTGTAGATGATTGGCACCGTGCAGCTCGGTCAGAAGCAATCTCTAGCGGTTCGCATGCAGGCAGCATCACGAACACCATGGCCGACATAAACCGAGAGCGTCAGCGGAAGAAGCAGATTCTTTACTCGGTCCGCGACTACTGTGGTTCTCATCGCATCTCCTCCGGTCATACACTGCGCATCAAGCAGCCGCCTGATGATATAAAGAAGCATTCGTCTGCATGTTCATGTGTAATTCGCTCAGTGCTGGAAATGGTGCAGAGGTATGTTGAGCGAGAGCATCATCGCAAGAAGACGCAGCAGCTTCACTTGGAGCTCTTGGAGACCCTGCCGAAGGTGCAGTTTTGATTGCAAGCCCCAAACGAACCCCCGCCACGCTGATTTCATGTTGGACGTAGTAGGACATGCTCTTCGAGCTCTTCCACGAAGGCCGTGCCTAGGCCGCATCAAGCAGACTTTCCCGGCGTGACATGGGCAGAAGGGAATTTCTTTCCTTCCAGATTCTTGGACGAGCTCTACTCTGTGCTGCTTAAACTAAGCAGGGAAAGCCGCAGCTGTCCAAAAGAGTACACGTGATTGACTAGACCATCGTGGTGAGGATGAGGGGTCTTGATGACTGTTGAGTAGTGTTGAAGGGCCTTCGATGTTTTTGTATGTTTGTGCTTTGTGTGTACGTGCCTGTGCGTGTTTGTATCGGCCAGCCTAGGCAGCCAGGCACTGCAGCATCATTCCCTCTTCGATCGGCTTGGCCGCATTGATCCTGTTATGGAGCTCAACTTCTGCAATAAGGCCCCGCAGCGTAGAGTGCTTTACAAAGGCAACCGACGTAGACCAAACTCTGCCACTTGCAAATGTGTGCCCCGTGTGCCCGGAGGTGCTGGCAGAGCTTCATGTCATGACTCTGGACAAGGTGTTCAAGTCTGAAGACGCTGGCAAGGCGCAAACCTTCCGCAAGACTTCGCAAGTGACACAAAGCAGACAAAGCAACAGAGTCAGAGCACTGCTCAGGCCATGTACATCCCTGCTGCGGGGCAATACAACTACGAGTACCTTCCACCAAATCGTCGGGTGGGGGCCCCCCGGGCCCAAGCAAAGCAGAGCACGATGCGGCGCCTCATACATCGCCTCAGTCTCGGAGCCTTGGACCGAAGAGTGAGACCAGGTGACCAGGTTTTCTTACGAAGTGACCTCTTCGGGCAGTGTTCTTCCAGCATTGAGGCAGCACAGAATCCAAAGTCTGGCCGCCCCCGGTCTGCATTCGTCTACTGTACTGTTGCTGTTGCTCCACGGGCATGCGCCTGGCAGGACGGAGGTCACGGCTACCATCACGGCAGTGGGTCCAGGCGATTGCTTGAGCGAGTACTGCCTTTGGGTGGAGGGATGGAAGCACCGCGGCCTCTTGGCTAAGCCTTGGAGGCGTTGAGGAGGCGTTGAAGACGGCAGCTAGTATCACGAATCGAGGTTCAGCCAGGTAGCCTTGGAGTAACCTCGCCTGAAGAATGAGTGGCCTGAACTTACATTCTCGGATCCAAGGCCAGTGCGGTCGTTTAGACCAAACGTTGTCTCTTGCACAGGGTCGTGTCGATTGTTGGACACCGGCGGGCAGCGATCATGGTTTCAGGCGAAGCAATACTCACAGATCGTTTGCAGATTTCAGTAGCGCAGACGAAGACTAACTTCGTTGCAGTACATCTGTAGATCTCCCATCTGCCATCATTGTGGATGTTTGAGAGTTCTCATGTTCTGTAGTGACGGCTGTCACTGGTAACAATGCATATACTTGCGATCCACTTTGTTTCAGCTTACAATGGCAATCAGGGATTATTGATCTTGGAATCATGAAGTGCTTTGTTTCAGCTTGATGGCATCCTGTGTCTGCTCTCTACCCGGCTACATCGTGTTCAGCGCTGTCACTTTCATCAGCTTTTCTCCGTGACATTACCGCAGACATGAATAATCTGGAGGCTACGAGGACAGTAGCCGGGCCGACGAGTTGTAGACAGGCGAGAAAGCTCGAAATGCTTCTTCATCGCAGCTGCTAGACGCGAGATTTCGGCAATCTCGATTCCGGCCATTTTTTTGGTCACCGTTGCCATGACCATGATGACCATCGTGGTAATGCTGGTTGGTTCTTCGATGTGCTTTATCCAAGGCAATCTACAGGCTGCAGTCGACGGCAGGTTGATCTCGGTACAGGTCAGTGAGATTGGCAAATTTCTGCCGTTTGCCTGCAACAGATTTGCGCGTCATCGAAGCATGTTACCGTATGTTACCGTCACCTCTGAATCATCTGGAACCGTATGTTCGGAACAAGCAGATGCCGTGAATTGTCCGCTGTTTGTTGTTCATGCGACGTCTGGTTACATAGTACACACTGACCGGGAGATCGACGGGAACGGTCAAGATCACTTCTGCATACTGGCACGTCAGAGTCTTCAGATTACTGGCTCCCATATTTCGGTGACAGTGTCCAAGCGTCCATTCCGGAAGTTTGAGCTGGGGCTCGACGTGCGCGTCGGGACTGTTGAGCTGGCGAGTACATGATGGTCGCCTAGGCTTAGGCTACAGTACGAGAATTTAAGCGGCCTTCTGGTGAGCTCATTGCTAGCACTCCACGTGACTATTTCTCATGAGACAGTTTCCAATCGACGTGTTGGCGGATTTACTTGTTTTCTTTTAAACGGTTTGCCGTGCTGCAGGCAAGATTTCCCTGGAACTTTGGTGGACACAGTTGTGGTCTCAGCTTGACGAGTGATGCGTCGACCTCCTCCAAGCAGCAAGCAGGTTGTCTACGCCCGCTTCTTCTTGGAAGCCTTGAACAGGCACTTGCTCCTTCAACATGGCACCTCGTCTCGCAACTGGTCCACGGGTTACTTCAGAAACTCGAACGACCAAGGCATTGTCACCGACCTACCGCTGCCTTCCGCTTCTGAAAAGGAAGATGCATCCTTCAGCATGTTGCACGCACTGAAGTCCTTTCAAATCGCGACTTGGGCCGAAGCTGTAGCCGATTTATCCTCGCTGGTCAGCTCGGCGTTGGCTACTCTCCAAGGTGAATCCAGCTGAAGAAGCATTGGCTCAGTGAACGGTACTTCTTCACTGTGCCAACTCTCGTCAAAGGGTCACGCGAGGTTTACCTGAGCCAGATTAATGGGGCCCTTGCCAGCCCCATGAAGGATTAGTTTCAGCTACACAGACATTGGTCACACAAGAGACTGGCGTGTGGGGTCGATTTGCTTGTGTGGGGTTGGGGCCTTAGGGGTTGCTGAAAGCATCCCCAGAGTTTAAGCCATCGAAACGTGTTTAAAGCGGCATACTTTTTCTGAAGACTTGGGTAGCCGAGCGGCAGGCCAACAGTGGCTGATGCTGTGCCTGAGCCTTTCTGCGTCTTGTCGTCGCCGTGCCGTGTTATGTGCGGTCGCTTTATCAAACATAAGGCCCCGAAGGGACCTAGCGCGCGTGAAGTCGTTCAAAAAAGAAGCGGAGTGCAAGCGTGAATCGCAGTCGTTTTAACCTCCTGATGCCCGCACTGAGGTTTTTGCTTTTTTGCCAGATTCGCATCTTCACGCGATTTGGACAGGCCCTCAAGTGTTGGCGTCACAAGCACGGCATCAACACTGGGTCAGACATTCCATAGCCAATCCAAGGCAATGCATCAGACGCAATCGAATATTCAGCCACAGCAAATCTAATTCCAGGCTGCTTGCAGCGCAGCTTTGCAGTTTGCACAGTTTATGCGATCAGCTAAACAGAATCAGCAGAGCTGGGGTAGGGGCATGTAGGGGCTAAAGGAAACTCGCGATAAGCATCTTCCCCTCGCACAAGGTCAGGAACCTGCCAACCCTCCAAGGGCTTCAAGAAACGTCACAGCACGAAGATGCTCAGGCGGTAGGTCGCTGCCTATCCTGACGGCCATTAACAAACTTCAAGCCTAACCCGAGACAGCTGTTCTTTTCGGGCTGTGGACTTTTGACAAAACATCCACCGGGATTTCTCGGGCTGTTTGTGTAGGCCTTGAAATTGATGTTTCAGCGCCTGGCTAACTAGACATACAGCCTACAGCGCATCGAGCTGACCTGCGCAGGTGCTAGTCGTCAACATGTTGCCAGTCCCCGAGAGCATTGACGAGTTTGGTTTAGCCGAGCACAGCCAAGAGTTGTGAATCTTACCGGAAGTACACTCAGGACGGTCAAGCCGTAGAAAATTCTGCCAATCGATCGGCAGTAACACAGCGGAAGACTCTCAAGCTCATGCATCACTCGGCAACATGAGGTTCGCCCTCGTTTTCGCATTGGTCTGGATTCCGGCAGCTCTTGAACTGTGCCGCAACGTGCAGTGTAGGCATGGGCCTTGGGCTGCTTTGCGCCATGCACGGCAGCACTTCGGAAGCTCTGTCACGCGCACTGAAGACAAGCTCCAAAGTGACCGAAGCGCGTGGCACCCCAACCCCCCCCCAAAAAAAAAATAAACGTGCGCAACATGCATCCTGGAGACTGGAGACCTCCGCAGCGTCAACCTGCGCTGGCAGGAGGCGCAAGACGTCAGCCGCGGCATGCCCGGCAGATGGCGAAGAAGGCGACAGCACATCTCTACCACTTTGCTGTCGTGAGCAGAACCCTTCCTTTGCTGTGCGTTCGGAGGCTACGCTCTGGGACTTCTCGGAGGGCGGCCCACTCAAGGTGCCTTTCGTTTGTCATTGCATTCCCTGAGGGCAGTGTGCCTAGCATACCATCGCTGGTGCAAGGCGCGGCCATGAATGGAGGGGTGTCAGCAGGATTCCTGAGGGCACGGAGTGCCTACTCTTGCCATACCGTCACAGACCTAAGTTCTGGCTACATGCTGGCCATGTGCAAGACTCCCTCTCTTGCCAGATTCGCTTTCTCGCGTACTTGCCGAATATTCCGTGGGGCGACAGCAGACGATCGATTAAGTGAGCTAGACTCGACTCTATAGTTTTCATCCATGCAGTGCTGGAGTTGCTTGCGGGAGCACGCATCTTGTAGGAGCCTCGTCCAGATCGCCTGAGCGCATCATGATGGACTGCTTTGGTTTCAGACTCCCTTCAGTGCGGCTTCCATGGGTCTCTGGAGCTGACAGACGCAGGAGCTCGATGGCTCCAGTCAAGGTCCACTCTGCCTGAGAGAGATGCAAGCTTGCTCTTTATGGGGGATCTTCCTCAGGCTTCTCGGCCCTTCAAGGCTCGCGCCCTAGCTTTCGAGGACTCGTCGCACGACTTCTTGCAGCTTGCCGCTTTCCCTGAGGCTAGCAAAAGCCAGTTTTCCTTGGTCAAGCGATGACCTGCAGATCATCTTGGGATGATCATCACTTGTTCATAGTTCACATAGCTCAAGACGACTTCTTGGGCTTTGGTGAAATCCATTTCCCCTTCACTTCGCTTGATTTGAGAAACCTCTTCGAAGCAGAGCTTCTCAGCTTCTTCTCTGATTGGGAAGTGGAGATTGCGATAATGACCGTGCCCGCGATGCCTGTTCGCTGATAGCAGCGGTGCGGGCGGACGACCGGCGTGATATTGATTGAAGCCGAAACAGAAGACGCTTTCAGATGCCGACCTTGCAGCTTGTGAAGGAAGAGCATGTTTCGAGAACGCTGCTTTCCCGCTGCCGCTCTGCTCCCAGCGACCAGCCAAGACTTCAAGAGTGTGTGCTTTGGATTCGTGCTGCCGCCGCGTCTTCGCAGCGGTGAGTCGATGGAACTGCCCCGCCTTGGTCCATTTTTCGCCAGGCTTTCCTCAGCTTCCCTATGACTTCGACTTCGAAGAGCTCCCTTTCTTCCCGAGCCGAGGGGGCCTCAAGCACTCTTCGTTCTGCGTCTGCTAGGGGCCTTTCGGGCTCAGGCCTTCTGGGTGAGCCCCGAACGGATCGCCTTGGCAGGCAGGGAGGGCCCAGGGTCGGGCCCGGTCGGTCGGTCGGTCTTCGTATGGCTTTGCGCACCAGCAGCGCGTCAGACTTGGAACTTTCCATTGGGGCTCGACGTACACGGCTTCAGCGCCCAGTGGTTTCGTACGGGGACGCAGCGAGTGAAATTTCGCTCCTGAAGTCGTCATTGCGGCTTCGATCAGCGCCGCTCTTCTCGCATTCGGACCTCAGCCGCCTCCCCAGACAGTCCAGACAGTCGACAGGGTGAACTGGTTTTGATTTTAGTATGGAATCCACCACTGCCAGCACCTCAACAGATGGATCTTCATTTGAGGTCGCCGACACCTCCAGGTATCCTCCGCAAGGATGCGCCAGTGGTGGTGTGCCGGGCATGGTGGAACGTCGCATGGGATTGAGGGGAGTGCCTGGTATCTGACGTCCACGCCCAGCTTCTTCAACTGGTGGTAGCTGGCACTTCACGATTTGCTCGCTGCATGCTATCGCAAGCTGTTGCATTTCTGCCAGGTTGTGCCTCAAGCGCCCGTTGCCCAGACGTCTCCGTTTGAAGTGTCACGAGAGTCGCAGCAGCCCAGGCCAGGATCCCTGATGCGCCGGGAGCCACGGACCGAGCTACCGCCACTCGGCTCGGAAAGACCCGAGAAGATTGGTTCATATTCACAGAACGGGCATTCTGCAAGAGATATCTGTAAGCAGGCTGCATATCGACTCAAGAGCAGCAATGCTTGCGCAATACACTTGTTCCACGGGCCCGTGGGCAACTGATGCGGGCTTGCATCCGAGAAAATCAGCGGCAGCAGTTGCTCCTCTCTTGGAGAAGCTGCGCCAGGAGTAGTCTCGTAAGACCCCGAGACAGACAAGACAGACAGGGTAGCGTGGCTGCAGGGAAAATTTGTGCAAAGTTGGTCTGCCCGCAAACCCAAAGTGGTAAAGCATCATCGAGTTCATTTTCGAAGCAGAAGGCGCAGTCTTGTGGAGTATGCAGCAAGCACGGACAGATACAAGCATTCACAGTCCGGGAATTTGTCCGTTGCCTCTCGGCCGTCTGTGAGGGGCAGATGGTTTCCGTTG